GCTTGTTGTCTCTGCCAGAAAAGCATCTTGGAAGCATCCCCTTCTGTCTGTGGGTGGATTTGGACAAAGTTTATGCTGAACCTTGGACTCCTGAGGATAGATTTGTATGAATTCCATAGGAAATAAAAAATGGGAAATAGTGCCCATACTACTAAATACCACAAAGCTGCCAACACAATATGAAGTCTATGACTGGCATTCTCTTCTCACAACAAGCCTTGTATCAAAATGATAGCTGTGTTGTTCTTCAGGACTACTGTAAAGTACATTAAAAAATGTAGTCCTGATATATGGAGAAAATGATAGAACTGCAGTCAGTGTAGAAAATGAAACAACACAGAAGCCAGTAAGATAAGACAGTGATACTCATTTATACTGACAAATGCCAGGTACACAGATTAAAAATAAATCAGTACTAACTAACTACAGGGCTGAGACAGAACTATCACATCAAGGTGACAATTAAAACTGTGGTGATCCTTGTAGCAGCCAAATGCCATCAGCAAAGAAGAAAAAAAAACCAAACAATATTGAAGGAATTGTTATGCTCTCACATTGCTCTGTTTATAGCAGCACAGACCATTTTAACAGAAAGACAGACAGGAAAATATACTGTGTTTTCTAGCCACAGTATAATTAACAGAGGTGCTTTCTTTCTATATTTATGAAATGTTCTGTTTCATTAACCGCAGTTAATAAAATGACAGTGCTAAAGGATGTAAATGTTTAAATATTAGGGATATAAATATTTAAATATTATGGAGTATGAAACAAGTTCAATAAAATGTAGCTCTAGCTGCCATTTGCAACTTTGCACCCAATTCAGCAGCAACAAAAACTGGTGAAAATGAGCACTCACACCATCTAAAAATGCTGTGACCCAGGCCCCAAAAAAGACATGGTGAAGATTGCTAAATCTATGGAATCCATGCTGAAACAAATTGAGCTATTCTAGAATTTAGAATTACGCAATAAACAATAACACAACATCTACATTCATTTTCATGTGGTCAGCAGTAAGTACTGAGGCAACATGAAGACTTTAGTGTTTATTTTTCCCCACTCTTCCAAGGTATTGATCTTTCTTTTAATAGAGTTAATGGCTTAATAGCTTTCTGGAAGCTATCCTTGCCTGTGCTGGCCCCAATACAGGTGTTAAAACTGAACCCTCACACTTTCATAAGGCCCAGGACATCTGTTAAACAAATACACTGTCCCTTCCATGGCTAATCTTCATTAGGGGTGGATGATTGGCAGGCTGCATGCTGCACTAACTTGAATAGAAGGGGATCGAAGCTGTTTTCTGACAACTAACATTTCCATAAAACACAGTTCTATGCTAACAAATTTTAAGTCCCACTGTGGATTGAAGACTTAAGAATAAATTAATAATCCTGTCTCATTAAGACCTACAACCTAGGAATGAAGTGCCAGCCTACTCTGCGGTCTGCTGGTTGTCAGGTACAAGAAATACTGCTTGTAGGATTTAAGATGGATGCATTTTACATTTTAAAATCAAAAATACAATTTATATCACTATGGAATTCACCACTTTGTTAGGGCCATATTGCGTCATTGATTTTTAAGCAGAAGTTTCTACCAAATCAATAAAGAGTTCTGCTTAAAAATCAATGACACAATATGGACCTCAGAAAAGAAGAAACAGTAAAGTACCTAACCATATATATTTTTCATTTTCAAACACTGTGAAAGGTTATATTTTTCTTATGAATAATATTATTACTATCCATAACAATGAATAACATAGCAATTCTTATTTGTTAGGTACATGCTGAAGTATGTAAATAGAAAGGATTTATAATTGGGAGCCTAGAAAACCTAACAAGTTTTGAAGAAGAAAAAAAGCATCCTAGAAAATAGCTGCACTTCCTATTCTAAATTTAGGACAAGATTTCCTGTTCTGATTAGAAAGGCTATGGTTTAGGTTTTAATAAAAAAGAAAGCAAAAAATGTGCTGAAAAGGTACCTAGTGCAAGGAGTGTTTTAATTCTACCTTCAGAAAGGATTAAAAATGAGGGAAGAACTCCTATCTACTCATGATCCTTTAAAAAAAAAAAAAAAGTTTTTCTAAGTTGTGCTCAAGACATTTCAATGTCTTTAATTTAGAGCAAAATATTCTTAGGTACAATGGGTACAAACTTCCCACTTGCATTATCATTTGTATTCTATGAATTTTATTCCAGCAAAGAAACTTTAAGACAGGACACTACCACACTAGAGACCTGCACTCAATATTAATTTATTTGGTATGTATTTCTATTAGCAGCTTTTTTTATTTAACAGTTCACATGACTTTTTGTGCTTCTCTCTTCAGTGCATTCAATGGTATATAACATCAGGTTCAGACTGTGTTCATCCATAATTCAGTTTCAAGACTTCCAAACTCCTGTGCCTCTCTTGATCCATGGTTGCAGGGTGCATGCCTAGTTTTTATGGCAAAATCATAGTAACCATGAAACATAGCAAAAAAAATAAAACCAAACAAAGAACTCAAAATATCCTTTTGAATTGCCCAGCCATAGATGGGAGCTGGAAATAACATAAAAAAAGTGGTGGGATAGTCTGAACTGCTTCACAAACCCCCAAATCACACTGTATTCAATTTAACTGCTATACCACTGCTCTTTGCTGAGGAGGCTCTGTACATTACAGTTCTCCCAGCAGAGCTCTGCCCCCGGCCATGTCTGTCAGTCAGGGAGCTTTTAAAGTGTTATACAGCACCAAAAGTAATGCAAAGAGATTGAAGGACTTCAATGAAAGGAGAACAATTCCCCCTTGGCTGGAAGGTTAGTAACCAAGTGCAAAACACGGAGCACTTTAACCCTTTCTCTGTCGGTCTCCTGGACTGCCTTCCAGAACGCGTGCTGCAAAGTCAGGAAAGAGCAATGCCAGCACTTGCTTCATTTCCTACAGCTTCAAAAAGCTGACGAATGGGATGGTCAGAGAAAAATGGATGGCCAATAGGTGTTGCAGTACAGGACTGCACCACAGATGCCCTCATCAGCTGCAAAAGAGTTCACCATGAAGAATTTTCTTTTTTTTTTTTTAATTTAAAGCTCAGCTGTTAGAAGGCCAATAATTGAGAATCCAGTACTTTGGCACTCAAGAGAACCACTCCAGATTGCTGCTGTGTAACACCTGAGCAGTAGGAAACTGAGGCAGAGGGTCTCCCCCTGCTGCTGCTTCTTCCCCAGCATTTCATTTCTGGCTTTGGAGGAAACCTGGTGGAAGTGACCTGATAGAATATATTTAAGAACACAGCTGGAACTTGTACAGCAATTCAGCAATTTAGTCTGTGTTTACTGTTTTGCATTTTCTTTTTAAGCTGTGTGTTAGTCTTCCAGCGAGGATGCCTAAACCTGTCTTGGTGCTTTTATGTTGTCATATGCTCATTAGACATTTAAATCTAGCACCCTCATATACCTATGCCCAGAAAACTGCTATGAGAGCTAGGAGATAAGGATTTAGAAATCCAATCAGAACATTTAGCCATAAGGAAGGTACCATATCTCCTAAATTTTTTAAGGAACTATTTCCTCTGATGCTCATAAAGAGATACTTCTCTAGTAAGAGAGTTGTGCACAGACATGCACTCTCAATGCATCTCTTCCCCATACAATATGAAAGTACAGAAGGCCAGATCTTTCTTATATCATGCTTTTTTCCAAGATTAGCTGTTGCTAGTAATTTCTTCAGACTATCTTATATGGATTTAAGTACCATTATGCATGACTTAATTAACTCATAAAGAGAGCTACAGAGGGAGAGCCTGCATGAACTTACCCCCACACATGCTTTTATACACTGGGATTACCTTTATTCATTTCCCCAGTTTGAAATAGTGACGTGACCCAGCCACAAGCATGGACAATCTATTAAAACATGATAATTAAGAAATCTTGATCCTATTTGTCCCCAAAACTGCAGGCTCATGAAATACAAATTAAATATCACTGCTAAGATTATTTATTGAGAACAACAAAATACAGTATAAATGGTGCTCCTGCAAGACTTTTGATACTGACCTGGATTATACTGTCATTAATCTAAACGTCCTGAGCAAAGGAATGTTTTCGGAATAGCAAAACTGATGCATGCCATTACTGCTGCAATAACCCTTAATCAAAGAGACCCATGGCACTGCAGACACAAATCACCTCATCAAGCTTGGCAAAGGTTATCCCTTCTAGAGAGGACAGCCATACATCCTCTGCAGTCACTAGTATGCACATAAGGCCTGATTTAGAGAAGTCTTTGAAAGGAAACACAAAATGATCTTTTAATATCTTGTGGTTTAATCCCAGCAGGCAGCTCAGCCCCACCAGAATCAGAAGGGTAAAAGTGAGAAAACTCGTGGGTTGAGATAAAGACAATTTAATAGGCAAAGCAAAAGCCATGCAGGCAAGCAAAGCAAAACAAGGAATTCATTCACTACTTCCCATGGGCAGGCAGGCGTTCAGCCATCTCCAGGAAAGCAGGGCTCCATCACGCGTAACGGTTACTTGGGAAGACAAACGCCACAACTCCAAACATTCCTCCTTTCCTCCTTCTTTCCC